AGACCTTGTTAAGATCAGGATGGTCTTGCATGTTTCAAAATGTTTTTTTTCTCCCTTCCCCTACTGAAAGCTTGGGATTTTTCTCCAGTATTCACTGTGAGAAGCTGGGGATAGACCCAGGAGGTAAAACTCAACAAAAGTATAGGCCCTCTCCTAACAACTGGGTTCCCCTGGAGTTTTTAACTCTCAAATTGTCCACATTGGGCCTCCAGCAGTTCCTTCATTACAGTTTAGGTTTCCCTACCTGGCACTGGTTCCCACAGTGGTTTCTGCTCCTTTAAGTTGTAGTCTCTGTATTCACCTGTTGGTCTCTCCAATTTGGGGAGCACTGCTTTGCCCTGTGACACTGTGGATCTAAGATTAGTTGATTTTTAAGTTTGTTGAGTTTTTCACTTCTTAGGACAGAATGGCAACTTCCAAGCGTCTTACATGCTGCACCAGAAACCAGAAGTCCTGGGTCAAACTTGTTACATGTGAAATTTCTGGTTCTTGGTTATGGAGGTGAAAGTGATTTCTGATTTGTCATTGGAAACAAGTGCTTATGCTTCCTCATGGCAAGTTGGGATGTCTCTTTAATGTACACAGTCTGATAATTAAGTTCACGAACTTGTTGCAACGATGTTGCTAACTTTTTTTTATATCAGAGGGGTTATTTATTATGTATTTGTACCAACTGGACAGTTAGCCAAGTTTACTATTTGGAAGTGCTGAAAAGGCTGTGATCAAGGTAGATGACCAGAACTTCTCGCCAACAATTCACGGCTCTTGCATCACGACAATCACCAGCTCACACGACACTGTCTGTGAGGGAGTTTTTAGCCAGTCAACAACTGTATTGGAATACCCTCCCTACTCACCCAATCTGGCTCCCAATGACTTCTTTCTTTACCCGAAGATAAAGGAAATTTTTTTTTTTTTAAGATTTTTATTGGGGAATTGGGGGAAGGGGAACAGACAAGTTGCTGTCGTTTTTTTTTTGTTCTTCAGTCTAGTTGTGGAGGACGTTGCTTCACTGGTCCAAGTTGGCACCATCATTGCGCTCTTCCCGGGTGAGGCAGATCAGTCACCGGCTTCTGGACAGCCGCTCACTGTGGCTGCTGGCCGCTCACGCTGGCTGCTGGCTACACACGGTAGCCCATGGCAACCCACTGCCACAGGGGCTGCAGCCTACACCGTTGCCGGCGACTCAGGCAGCCCAGCTCCAGGTTGAGCTGTTGTTCAGCATCTTAGCTGTAGAGGGCAGTGTCACTGGCCCTCATATGTGGGATCCGAACCGGGGCCCTCTGGTATCCCAAACCAGTTCTTAACCATCATGCCACTTGAATGGCCCAATAAAGGAAATATTGAAAGGAAGACATTTTGATGATATTTAGGACATCAAGGGTAATATGATGCCTACTCTGATGGCCATTCCAGAAAGAGTTCCAAAATTGCTTTCAAGGGTGGACTAAACTCTGGCGTCAGCACATAGCTTCCCAAGGAGAGTACTTTGAAGGTGACCATAGTGATATTCAGCAGTGAGGTATGTAGCACTTTTTCTAGGATGAGTTCGCAAACTTAATTGTCTGAACTCGTGTATACAAGTTACCAACTTTGGTAGAATCAATATGAAAACTTCGAGTAGTAAATAGAGCAAGTGGTTGGTATATCTGAAGATCTGGTATAGTGAAAAATTAATTTCTAGAGTGTACTTACCTATTCAGAAGGTCAAATTGAGAAAGCAATTAGGAATAATCTATCACCCCATTTACCTTTTCCAAGGATCAGCAGAGTTAGTGTTGGGATAATTATTGGCACACCAAGAACTCTTCCCAAATGACATGTATAATCAGCTCAGTTAATTTTAGAAAAATGTTAGGAATGAAATACTAGCTTTACAGTCTTAATCTCATTAAGGTCATCTAAATATTTTACTTTAAGGCAGTGATTCTCAACCTGTGGGTCGTGACCCCTTTGGGGGTCGAACGATCCTTTCACAGGGGTTGTGAGGTACTCGTATGTGGGCGTATCTGCATGTGGGCCTGGAGACGGATAGAGGAGCGGTGTCTCGGTTCCTAAGACCATCGAAAATATGTGTTTTCGAATGATTTTAGGTGACCCTTGTGAAAGGTTGAGAACTGCTAAGGGCTGCAATATAAACATGGAATTGATTAGGTCTTGGTTCTAAAATTTACTCCTGAGAGTCATTTAAGCTCAAGCATATTCTTTATTTTTTAAGATTTTATTGGGGAATTAGGGGAGTGGAACAGTGTTGGGGAATTGGGGAAGGAGACCAGCCAAGTTCTTCAATCTTCATTGTGGAGGGCGCCTAGTCGCCATCTGGCTTCCTGTTGGCAGCTCGTGGCTTCTAAGGTCAAGGTGCTGTGTTCAATCTTAGTTGCGGGTGGGCGTAGCCACCATTCCATGCGGGAGTCGAACCAGCAGCCTTGTTGTTAAGAGCTCATGCTCTATCCACTGAGCCATCCGGGCGGCAGCTCAGCTCAAGGTGCCGGGGTCAGTCTTAGTTGTGGGTGGGCATAGCCCACCATCAAACAGGCAATCTTGGTGTTACACCAGCTGAGCCATCTGGCCACTGGTTGGCAGCTCAGTGACAGCTCAGCTCGGGCGCAGCATCACTGGCCCATGTGGGAATTGAACCGGTGGCCCTGTTGCTCAGAGCTTGTGCTCTTAAGCCAACTCAACCAACTGAGCCACTTGGCCGGCCCTCAAGCATATTCTTGATCAATTTCTGAGAGCATATACATTGTGACATTTTAATCAGGTGCCTAACTGAAATGTCCATATATATGATTCCATATATATGAAATGTCCAAAACAGAGACAAAAGGTAGGTGACTGGTTGCCAGGAGCTGAGGGGAAGGGGAAATGGGGAGGACCTGCTAATAAATATGGGGTTTCTTTTTGGGGCCAGTCTTTGTCCATTCAGTTAACATGCAGTGACAAAAAGCCCTTAAAGAGGAAAAATGATCAATACTTAGATTGAAAAATCAAAGCATCATAAGATTCTTTTAATTTAGGAGAAGAAAAAGGACACAGGATGCAAAAAGCCAGATTTCTTTAGGTACATATTAAATATGAAGGAAATAATGTAATTACATCATTTACAATTCTTAAAAATTCTATATCTTCAGAAATCATCTTTGGTTTGATATGCAAAACACTATCCTTAACTCAGCTTTTCTGAGGAAGGGCCAGCTTTATTTCTAAATAATTGTGTCCCAGGATACACCATTTCTTCAAACTGTTCCCCAGGGAAACTAGAGATTATATGCAGTACTTTGAAAAGTATATATACTTTTCATCCAGTATAAGAAAGCCATCTAAATAAAGCTTATCCAATTCCTTATTGAGCCATTTTCAATTATAGAAAGAACACTAATGAGATGAAATCAGTAAAAATGCAAACTAGAAATAGTTCAATACAGTAAGGAGGTGTATATCAGCAACACTCTAGGATAACATTGAAGTGAGTTACTGGGCAACATGGATTGCATTATATAAACACTTTAACATACAATCAATGCATAACGGACAGAAGATGGGAGATGATTCAGTTTTTCAGTGAAGTTTCTTACGGAAATTGAAAATTGTGAGCAAAAATCTAAAACTGACATTATGAACATGGATTTTGATAATACATATAAAGTGTGTTGGAATGAATCCAGCTGTTGCTAGTTATATTTAGGGTGGCATCAGCGAACTGAACTAAAAGATTTATTTTTAAGGCCCACAATTTAAAGATTGTATTTAAAGTGTTAATTTTAGCATCTAGCTTCAATGATTCAATACACTGAAGATGGACAACTTGCAAAAATAACTTTTACCATATTACAATTTTTAATGTCATATTAGCTCATTGTTTTTTTAAAGCTTATCTTGAACTGAAGGATTTTTTTGAAAACCTAAGATTTCTAATAAGCAGAGTTTAGTCTTATTTTATGATAATGCATTATAATTTGGTAAGGTATATTCAGCCAAAGCCATCTCAGTTTCTCGGGAATTAGTATTTAGGCATTCTTGCTATCTGCTACTCTATACCTAAACTGGGATTTTAAAAGTGGTGGCTAATAGTGGGACATGGCTAAATCATTTAAAAGCCAATGTTAGCAAATTCATTCTCTGAAATCACCGAAGTAGACCCATAATTTTAAATGACTTTATTTTGTTGTTATCTTAGGCTTCTTTCTATTTACACTCAGGGCTTTGTATTTTTTGAAACATTTTTCTTCCCTAATCTTTTTGAAAGAAGAAATGAGACTGACCTTTGTAACTTAACACAAGCTTATAAGTAGGAATGGTTGAAGATGAGCTCTCTGGAAAAAAATATAGGTGGTTGCATAATAATCCATTATGAATCTAGGTTCATGACTGCAACAACATAAGTTTAAAATGAATGTATTTGGTAGAAATACCACTTCACATCCACTTCGATGACTAACATTTTTTTAAAAAGTAAAATTAAGTTGGTGAGAATGGAGAAATTGAAACTCGCATACATTGCTGGTGGGAATGTAAAATGGTGTGGCTACTGTAGAAAACATTTTGGCAGTTTCTCAAAAACAATTACTATATGGCCCAGTAATCCACCCTTAGATATATAACTGAAAGAACTGAAAACAGGTGTTCAAACAAAACTTGTACACAAATGTTCCTAGCAGCATTATTCACAATAGCCAAAAGGTAGAAACAACCCAAATGTCCATTTGGATAATCAAAATGTGGTATAACCATATAATGGAATAGTATTCCGCCATACAAAGGGATGAAGTACTGATACAACATGGATGAACTTAAAAACATTGTTCTAAGTTAAAGAAGCAAGACACAAAAGGTCATATATTGTATGCTTCCATTTATATGAAATACCTAGAATAGGGAATTCCATTGAGACAGAAAGATTAGTAGTTGCCAGGGGCTGGAGGGGAGGAGGGAATGAGGAGAGACTGCTTAATGGGTAAGGGGTTTCCTTTTGGGGTGATTAAAATGTTTTAGAACTAGAGATGATGGTTGCACCACATTGTGAATGTACTAAATGCAGTGGAATCATACACTTTAAAATGGTTAGTTTTATGTGAGTTTCACTTCAGTTATAAAAATTCTTTGGTATTTTCATCTCAGAGGGTAGTATTGTTATTCTGTAGTTAGTGCTGTAAAAATCACCCCAATTAATACAGCTCTAATACCTTCAATAAGTTAAAGCATGGACTGTCTCATAAAGTGGGACCACAGAATTGGAGTATTACCCAAATCAGTTAAAGCTCTTAAAGTTGTTTCCTCTCCCAAGATGAATTCTAGATAGTGTTTCCTTCTAGTACTATGTTGAACAAAATATTAAAAATTTCAAAACATTTGAATGTTTTTGAGTTGTGTTTAGAAAATGAGTGTTGGGCTATAATTTTTTAAAGGAAAGATTTTCCCTATTGTCATGTGAATCTTGTGATAACCTAGTAGTACAAAATTTTAATTTTCATTATATTTTGGTTTTGTTTTTGTCTAAGTAGTTTGTAGGAACCTCTGCCTCTATTTCACAGCTGGAGAATATGACATCTAAAGGTGTCAGTTTCCACCAGGGAGATCTTCCCACAGTAGTGTTTTTTGGACTCTCTCCCTTGTGTTTTGCTCCTCATAGATCTCCTTCCATACTGAAACCATCACATTCTGATATCGGGCCTTAGTTCTCAGAAAAAAGTTACCACCCAATGAAATTTTTGGAATTTTGAAACTACTGATTTTAGTATTCAGAATTTTAAAAACATTACATTATAGCCAGAAATGATTTGTTTGCTAATGAGTTATGAACTACCAGTGTGTACGTCTGTAGTGGCAACTGTGCAAGAGTTCACAGAACAGGATAATATGGTCTATAATATTCTTTGTTGTTTATAATCAGTATAAAATTTTGGAATGTTCATTCCTACAGCAAGAACTTGTGACATTATAAAATGTGGTTCACCAGTTGCTAGGCTTTCCATATTTTATTAAAATTAAAATGTACTAAAAATCCAAATGTCATCAAAAACTTCAGTCACAAAAATGGCTTTAAATACTTAAACATTTCTGAATAATGCTTTATTCTAACTAATGATGCAAGGAAATTTTGGTATGCTATTTATTCAATTTTCTTAAGTGTTCCCTACCTTTGGACTCCAATCATACTAACATATCTGTATACTGAAGATTTAACCACAGTATATGGCACTTTATAATATTCCATATTCTAATATTCTGAAATGCCTGTATACAATCTGATCACACTGTTTAGTCAGCAAATATCAAATTTAAAGATCTTGGATATGGAATGTTTTGATAAATGCTTAGAGTTTTTCTGAACAGAGTTCAATTTAGCTAGCCATGTTATTAATATAGAACCCATATGTTTTTTTATGGGCATAAGTATGCCATGTTGCAAATTTTTTTTCAAGATGTTTCTCAACTTTTTGCTTAAAAGCTTTTTGTTTTCTCTCAAGTTATTTTAAGAGTCCTGTCAACATGTTTGTTTGAAAGCAGACCAAAACCAAGTTTTAAAAAGAAAAAAAAACATTTTGCAAAAGAATCAGATTCTGGCTTTTTAATATATTTATGATGTGTAAACTGAAGTTAAAATGCTTTCAAAATGTTATTTTAGGAAAGCACAATTCAGTAGCATCAATTTTTCAATTACAGTTTTTTCTAAACAAGACCCTAAGAAACTGCCACCTTAACTTTTCCCTTCACGTACTTAAGTACTTAGGGTTCAAATTGAAGTGAAGGTAAAACCCTCTCACGTTCTCAGACTTACTAAACTAAGTTAACAATACATTGATTGGATAGTAAGCAGAATATGAAAGTACAGGCTACTTTATCAAAAGAGGAAAGTTCTTAGGGTGTTAGGTTTAGGGATGAAAGAATGTGGAACAAGGGCTCTCATGACTGGAAAATCAGAGCTCTTTCTGAAGTGGGTGGGCTTTTAATATCTAAGCTAGAAATTAATTGCAGAAATGAGAACATTACAGTTATCCAGAACTTCAAAAAAGCAACAGCTAAAACATTACAAATTAGGTATGGTGATAATCGAGTTAGAAATTTGGTTAGCACTGTAGGCTAGACACTATTCAGTAAAACTGTAATTTCTAATTTTAAAGAATTTGGCTTCATATTAAATTTTTTTAGTGTAAAAATTATATATACAGTGTTCCCCTGTAACTCAGATTATAATGCTCAAAAGCCCTACTATTTCCCTTTCTCTTTAAAAAAGCCAACAATTTCAAATTACTTCTAGCATAGAAATGCTCAGTAGTTCATCCAAAATTTAAAGCCCATATCAATAGGTAGTTTCTCATGAAGTAATCTATTATGCTATATTCCCAAATATCACATGGTCAAATATACTATTGATTTACAAACATTTTTCATGGGTAAGCGTTATTAAAGACAATGGGATCAAGTTGACTTTGTTGCTATTCAATTTGAATACTAAATTGTGCTTGTATCCTAAAAGTTAAAATGAACTGCAGTAAGAACGAGAATATAAATATGTCCATTTGTACCACACACTAAAAACTATAATCCTCAAAATAAGAGAATGAAAATAGGTTAATTCAAAAATGAAAGATGGGAAGCAATAACAATTGATAATGGTATGTTTTAATCTTTTGCTAACCAAACTGAGGTAGAGGTAGGCCCTAATATTATTCCTTTCATGTATCAGAACTTAGGCCTCTCACCTTAACTTGTATTTTTTCCGTAATTATATAAACATGATTCCATTTGAAATGTGTGTTATGATAGAAAAATTATAGCATCATTCAAATGTTTTTTTTATAAAATTCTTAATAGCTAAAAAAAAGTACTTATAAAATGTACACAATAATTCAATGTTCTTCCAGCCAGTCATAAATATGTTTTTCCTCCAAGTGTAGGAAAAAAAAGAAACTATATTATGCAAAGATTATGAACAATCATGTAATGAAGACACCGGAACATAACTAGTAGGGTAAGAACATTTTACCTTAGTGTCTAGTTTTCCTTTTTGAAGGTTACACATAAACTTTGATTTGTATTAAATTTCCTACTAAAGCAGACTTAAATTCCATTACACACAAATCTATTTCCATTTCAAATCACATACAAGTGCTATGTGATCAGAGGGATGGGAAACACTAGGTAAGGCCTGATGGGTGGTAACTTCTTCATGACTAGGTAGTGGAATCACCTGTTCAACCTCTAAAGCTTTTAAGTCAATGAAAATGTAATCCAGACATCCATGAAAGCCACCAACGTAATTTGTGTAAGCAGGTTCACCACAAGCACTTTTCAGTTTCAAGAAATGGGTAAGAGACATGTTGCATCGTTCCTCTTCACCATTGGAAGCCCAGTCTTCATGATCCTCTGGAATGTTGCCACTAATGACAAAATGATACATTCCTGTTGATGGGGTACTATTAAAGTCCCCACAAAATATAACTGGTATGCCAGGATACAGATCACATGAGACATGTCTAATGTGAGCCAAGGCTACTGCCATTTGAATGAGACGAATGTACCCACCTATGAATATAAAAAACATTAATGTAAGTACTTTTTAAAGTTGACCTTAAGTTAAAAAAAATGTTAAAAACTCACAAACTACAGAATCTGGGTGACATTCAAGATATATATTTGTGGGGGCTGGCCGAGTGGCTCAGTTGGTTAAGAGCTCGTGCAAGAGTGCGAGCTCTGAGCAACAGCGGTTCGATGCCCGGCCTGAGCTGAGTTGCCGCTGAGCTGCCAACAGGTGGCATGATGGCTCAGCTAAAAAAAAAAAAAAAAAAAAAAAAGATATATGTTTGCACGCACACGTGCGTGTGTGTTTGGGGGCAAGGGGGGATTGGATGAAGGTGATCAAAAGGTACAAATTTCCAACTATAAGATAAATGAATCCTGGGGATATAATGCACATGATGGCTATACAGAGGGTGCCAACAAAATGGATACACATTTTAAGAAAGGAAAAAACTGTATTAAAATTGTAATAATATATACTGATAACAAAAGATGAATACAAGTCACGTGTATACATTTTTTTGGCACCCCTGGTAGTTAACACTACTGTATGGTATATTTGCAAACTGTTAAGAGAGTAAATCCTGAAAGTTCTCATCACAAGAAAAACCTTTTTTTTTTGTATCTATATGAGGTGATGAATGTTAACTAAGCTTGTTGTAATAATCATTTCACAATATATATGTAAGTCAAGTCATTATGCTGTACACCTCAAACTTGTATAGTGCTGTATGTCACTTATATCTCAAAAAAACTGAAAATATATTCGTGTAAAACAGCTTTACTGATCTTAAGTTACCATGTTTAAGTCATCTGTGAAAACCAGTAAAACCTACCTTTGGGATGCCAGTAGAGATGGGTATTAGCAACACATATCTTTTTAGAAGAGTCCTTTGTAGACTGAAGAACAGAAACCTAAAACAAACAAAGTGCCAAGACTTCAGTTTTGTAATGTTTTAGCTGTTGCTTTTCTGATGTTCTGGATAACTGTAATGTTATATCATTTCTGCAATTAATTTCTAGCTTAGATATTAAAAGTCCACCCACTTCAGAAAGAGCTCTGATTTTCCAGTCATGAGAGCCTTTGTTCCACATTCTTTCATCCCTAAACCTAACACCATAAGAACTTTCCTCTTTTGATAAAGTAGCCTGTACTTTCATATTCTGCTTACTATCCAATCAATGTATTGTTAACTTTCAGTAAAATCTGGATTTTTCATCTCAATTATAAGCAGCCCCATCTCTACCCCTTTCCAAGGCTCTAAAAATAGATAAGAATGTTAAGGGACTGGCGGAACTACTATACCTGAAGGACAGAGGATCTCTGGAATACCCTCTCCTGTGCCGATGGATACAAAACTAATTTCTCCAGCAGTTCTTTGTGAAGTGGGTCGGACTCCAGGGCTTCATGGAAAGAAATGTCATGCTGGCTAAGGAGGCTGAACTTGGATTTTCGGTAGAAAGTGGCCAGGCCTTCCTGCTGCTTGATTCGGAACACGCCCTCCAGCCCAAAGGCCTCGAGGGCCGGCACCAAGCTGTCTGTAAACACGTTGCGGTCAACCTCCTGCAAACAGATGAGGTCGGCGTTGTAGCCGGTGAGTTCTTTCTGGATAAGGTTCTGGCGGTAGTCGAGCTCCAGAGCGTACGGAGCACAGTAGGGGTACAGCACCGTCCGCGAGAACTCAGTCTGCGCATACGTGTCAGCCAGTATGTTGTAGGTGACCGTGCGGATGAGAGCATCGTCCGTCACCTTCTTGGTGTAGAGATGCCGGTGATCAAAGGTGCAAGTGCCGGGCCCGGCCTCCACTGGACACACACTTTCCAACTCTCGGCTTGGCCCGAAGCGCTGCCCATTGCCTGGGGTGCAATGAAGCTTGAGCCGCAGCCCGATGTCGGCATTGGACGGGGTGTAGACGCGCTCGTCCACACCCGTTTCAGTCCACCTAGGAGAGGGCGAAGAGGGAGACAGGGACGAGGGGCCCCCGCCCTCAGGCTCCGCCGATCTGGGTTTGGTTTCCTTGTACCAGCGGAAGAGGGAGCCTGCGGGATCCCCAAATTCGAGGCTGAGTTTGGGGCACACAGGGAAGCCGGCCATGATGTAGCGCGGCAACTGCAGCTCGGTGAAGGCGGGCGGGTTGCGCTCCACCTTGTACTTGACATCTCCGATCTGTAACACCGCGCCGTCCTGCCAGGCGTCCACATTAAGCACGTCTTCAGCCACTGCTTCCTCCCGGTAGTACAGCTTCACCACCGGCTCGCAGGCCGCAGCAGGCTCGGGCCCAGGCCCCATACAGGCCCCGCCGCCGCTTGCGTTTGGCCGGTTCTTCCTGTTCTTCTTGGCGGCGGCCGCCTTAGCGTGGCCTTTGAGAGCGTTGGTGGCGATCCGGCTGAGAGCCCGACCCAGCGGCTCGCTCTGGTCGCGCTGCATGTTCTTGTGGCTGCCGTCGGCCAGCGCGAACGACAGGCTTAGCTTAGGCTCCGAGGGCACACAGCGCACTACAGCGCGCTCCATCGCGCCCGCCACCGTCTCAGTTGCCGCCTCGGTCCGACTGTACCGCTCTACGGCCGCGCGGACCCCACGAAGCGCGGCACGGGCGCCTGGGAGCCTCCACATGAACCTGGTGGCCCAGCGGCTGAGGAGACAGGCGGCCGAACAGCCGCTAAACCTCGGGTGGAAACAGGGGAACTGCAGCCGCCGGCTCCGGGACCCATTCAGCCCCTCAACTTCCGGTAGGCGGAGCGAGGGCGCAGGTTCTGGGACCATGCACTTTCGCCAAGTCCGCTCGCCTGCTCCTTTTTTCTATAGCCACGTCTGTCTCTAATAGCTTCCAGATTAATTTTTATCTTCAGTATGAGTCATAAAAAGGGGAAAAGGAAGGCAATATAGAGGTGCTAGAGGGAAATAATAGGCCGCATATTTTTATCGAAAGTGCAGTTAGAGGACAGAAGGGCAGATACGCCGAAGCGGAAGTGGTTGGGCGGTGTCACGGGTTCCGCTTCCCTGAAGGCGGCGGGAGCTTTGCCTGGGTTGAAACCGCCTCCGTTCCCTTAACGTTGTCTGGTGCTGAACTGCGTGATACCATTAGGGGCCTCCACCCGGACTGCCAGCCTAGCTCCGGGCGTGGAAGGCGTCGCCCATTTCCTCTCCAGGATTCCCTACGTTGCTCACCTTCTGAGGTGTGGTGGGTTCGCCTCAGGCCGGGCAGGCGCCGTCGCGCGGAGTTGAGACTTTGTGGTAGTTAATAACAACGCACAATATATAACTTCCATTTTTAGTGAGCAATGACTATGCTAAAAAGGGCCTTTACAGATAAGAGGCCCAGAGACATTAAGTTACCTGTTCAAGGTCACAGCTATAGCTGAGTGAGTGACAGGAGACTGAGACTAGCCGGTAAGAAATGTGTAGCCTCACTGAAAGCCAAGTGAAGAAAGTATTTCAAGAAATAGAGTGATGTCATGTTTAATGTAATTAACATTCTGAGACTAACTGAAGAAAAAAAACCTTGAAAATTCAAAGAACAAATTGAGAAGTCGCTTTTATTGACAAAAGATCTTTTTGTATACCCTTTACCATATTCTATAACTGGAATGTTTATTTATTGGCTATCTAACAATAAGCCATCGCTTTTCCCCTGGCTTACTATGAGGAAAATAAGCCTTTAGAACTGTGCTCTAAAAGAAGGATTAGTTTTGCTGTCATTTGAAATTTCTATTCCTATCCTCCCCTGTCCCGACCCACCAAGCATTTGACAGGTGACTGACTGGCTACTGATCATATTTATGTAGTCCAGGGCTAGTATAGGGTTAAAAGTCACTGCATTATATCAACTGGCTAACTGACCTAAGGAAGGAAGAAAATAAGTCTCAGTACTCCAGTTTATAGTAACCACATTTAGCAGTATGAATTTTAAAATGGCACTTTTCTTACCCCCAGCATTTTCCTTCATGCAACTTTGCAGAACTCAATCTTTTTTTTTTTTTTAAAGATTTTATTGGGGATTTGGAGGAGGGAAGCAGTGTTGGGGAATCGGGGAAGGGGAACAGACAAGTTGCTGTCCTTTTGCTCTTCAGTGTAGTTGTGGAGGACATCGCGTCACTGGCCCATGTTGGTATTGTGATCATTGCGCTCTTCTGGGGTGAGGCAGTTGCTCTCAGGCTATTGGACAGCCGCTCATGGCAGCTAATAGCAGCACACTGCAGGCCCGCTGCAGCCTACCCTGTAGGTCAGCTACTCAGGGCAGCCCAACTCCCCGTCGAGCTGTTGTTCACCATCTTAGCTATAGAGGGTGCAGCATCACTGGCCCATGTGGGATCTGAACTGGCAGCCCTGCTCCTCAGACCTCATGCTCCCAAGCCAACTCTTAACCAACTTGGCTGACCTAGAACTCAATCAATCTTAAATAAGGCTATGTAAACATAAAAGCCATGTTAGAAAATGTGACTTTCTTTCAAGCAAGCATGATCTAATTTAACTCTGTAGCAGACTCTTAATCTTGGTTTTGAGATGCCTTAAAGTGTCATACTTCTTGCTTTTAGGTGTGTGGGTTTTTTTTTTTAAGATTAAAACACCCATATGAAAGAAAGTAACCCTTTCACTCCTGACTCCTATGCATACACAAATATTTATGAACATATATCCTTCCTCCCACTTTTTTAACAAATAGGAATGCAGTATACCCATGGTTCAGTACCTTCCTCTTTTCACTATCTTTTGTCAATTCTTTCAAGAGAAAGTGTCTGAAAGTGCCATAACTTTCCACAGAAAGTTTAATTTGAACTCAACAGACTTTAAAATTATACATTATAAATGGTGTGTTTGAAGCTATCTTTTTATGACAGTAAATTATAGCATAATTATATACAAAATTATATACATTATAGTTACATAATTAAAATTTGAGATTGGAAGACTGAACCAATACTATGCTGTCTGATACCAAAAGGAGAAGCAGCTAATAGAAATCATTTTATTCGTCCATTCTCAGTCCATACCAGGAAATATATGCTAATGTTTACTAATCAAAAGTTAGGAATAATGGAGTTATTCTTGTTACTTGCACATATGTCTGCAAAGATTAGCCTGTGAAGACTAGTTTCTTGTGCTTACCTTCACTTTGGTTAATAACATTTTCAGTTAATAGCATAAATCATTAATATGCCTCTATCTTTTTTTTAAGGTCAGCGTAATACTGTAGTTTTGAGTGATAGCACTCAGAAATTTTGAGAAGTACCTGGTGATAATACTTCAGGGTAATCTTCATATATTCAAAATTTAATAATTTTCATTTGCTTTTTTATTATTAGTTTCAGGTGTACAAAACAATGTGACAGTTAGACATTTCACCACTCACAAAGTGATAACCCTCCTTTTCCAATCTATTGCCCCTCTGACATTGTATATATCACAATTCCATTGACTCTACTTCATATACTATACTCCATATCCCGTGTCCATTTGCTTTTTATTTAAGGGACCAATTTCTTCTATTTATCTGTATCCTTAAAATTAAATGTTTTTGTTTTATTGAGATACAGTTGACATATAACATTGCATTAGTCCAAGGTATACAGCATAATTATTTGATATATGTATATATTGCCAGATGATTACCACAATAAATTTAGTTAAGATCCATCAGTGACCTCAGATAGTTACAATTTTTTTCTTGTGATGAAGACTTTTAAGATCTATTCTCTTAGCAACTTTTAAATATATAGTATGGTATTATTAACTATTGTCACCATGTTATACATTACATCCCTAAAACGTGTTTATCTTGTAACTAGAAGTTTTTACCTTTTGACCACCTTCACCCATTTCCTGCACTCCACTGCAGTCTCATCTTCCCCTGCCTCTGGCAATCACCAATCTGTTCTCTGTATCTATGAATTCATTTTTTTTAAGATACCACGTATAAGTGAGATCATACAGTATTTGTCTTTGTCTGACTTATTTCTCTTAGCATAATGCCCTCAAGGCCCATTCACATTGTCATAAATGGCAAGATTTCCTTTTTTTTATGGCTGAATAATATTGTTATATCTGTAGCTCTCTCTATATATCTATTTTTATATATTTTGCATTGACTTTATCCATTTATCCATCAATGGATATTTACACTTAGGTTGTTTCCATGTCTTGATATAAATAATGAACATGGGGGCACAAATACCTTTTTGAGATACTGATTTTGTTTCCTTTGTTTCCTTTCTTTCCTTTGTACCCAGTGGAATTGCTGGGTCTTATGGTAGTTCTATTTTCAACTTTTGAGGAACCACTATATGTTTTCCATAGTGGCTGTACCAATTTACATTCCCACCGACAGTGTTATTTGTTTCTTATATTTTAAAATAGTCATTGTAATGTATTATGATGATATACTATGCTATATAGTATATATAATATATGATACAGCTATATAATTTAATATAATATATAATTAATATAACAGCAATAAAAAAATTAGAAGAAATTGAATCGAAGAACCTAGGTAAAACCTGTCACAGTTTAGCTTCATGAAGAACTCTTAAGCATATGAACTCATTTATTTTTCTTGTAATCCCACTTTTTTTTAAAGACATTATGGGGGAATTGGGAAAGGGGAACAGTATTGGGGAAGGGGAATAGCCAAGTTGTTGTCCTTCAATCTTAGTTGTGGAGGGCGCAGTTAGCTCAGCTCCAAGTCCAGTTGCCATTGGCCAGCCTTCGGCAGCTCATGGCCGCTTAGCTCAAGGTGCTGTGTTGAATCTAAGTTGTGGGTGGGCATAGCCCACCATTCCATGTGGGAGTCGAACCGGAAACCTTGTTGCTAAGAGCACAAGCTCTAACCACTGAGTCATCCAGCCTCCCAATGGCAGCTCAGGGAAGCTCAGCTCAAGGTGTGGTGTTCAATCTTAGTTGTGGGTGGGCACAGCTCACCATCCCATGTGGGAGTCGAACTGGCAACCTTGTTGTTAGGAGCACGTGCTCTCACCAGCTGAGCCATTCTGCCACCTGTTGGCAGCTCAGCAGCAGCTCAGCTTGGGCGCAGCTCACTGGACCATGTGGGAATCTAACCGGCGACCCTGTTGCTCTGAGCTCACTCTCTTAGCAAACTTGGCCGGCCCCCATTTTAAATTTTGAAATGAACAATACATGGTATTAAGCATATCAAGTCTGATAAGTTCTCATAGCATCTTCAACATTTCTATTAAGAAGTAGAAGAAACTTTTTGTGTAGTATTAGAGAGTCACCTTTTGGTGTTATATCCATAAGTGCTTTTAAATAATCAAGTCTTTGCGATTATTTGTTCTCATAAGTAGTATTTCTAACCCTTAGACTAGAAATAGAGCTTTTAAAGAAGGATTTTAAGCTTCAAACTGTATATGTTTAGATAGTTAACATATTTATTCCTTTTCTTCAAAGCAAAATATTTATTAAAATCCCAGCTGCCTCTTTTGGAGAAATTGATAACTTGATCCTAAAATTTATACAGAAATGCAAAGGACTTAGAATAGTCAAAGTTACTTCTTTTTATAGAAGAACAAAGTTGGAGCACTAACACTACCCCATTTTAAAGCTGTAGCCATTTGTATTAAAGCTACAGTAATCAAGATAGAGTGGTATTGGTATAAAGATAGACATGTAGATCAATGGAATAGAATTGAGTGTCCAGAAAGAAACCCTTACATTATGGTCAGTTGATTTTTTCAACAAAGATGCCAAGGAAATTCAGTGGAGAAAGAACAACCTTTTCAACAAATGGTACCGAAACACACACACACACACACACACACACACACACACACACACACACACACTAAAAAAAAATGAACTTGGATGCATACCTCTCACCACATACAGAAATTAAATGGATCATAGGCCTAAGTGTAAAATCCAAAATGAGAAGACATAAGAGAAAATCTTTGCTGGCATGAATGTAAAATCTTTCAACCACTTTGGAAAATAGTTGGACAGTTTCTTAAAAGACTTAACCATTCAACCCAGCAATTCCACTTTAGGTTTCTATCGATGAGAAATTAAAATGTATATTCATCCAAAGACTTGTATATGAATGTTCATGGCAGGATTATTCATAGTATCCCCAAACTGGAAACAATCCAACTGTACATCAACTGATGAATGGATAAACCAAATGTAATATATTCATGTAATGGAAGACTACCCAGCAATAAAAAGGAATGAATTCCTGTTACATACTACACATGGATGAACCACAAACACATTATCATTAAGTGAAAGCCAGGCAGAAGACTGCATAATATATGATCCCATTTATATGAAATTTTCAGAAATTACGGATTTATAAAGACCAAAAACAAATCAGTGGTTGCCTGCCCTGGGAGTGGGGATTGACTGCATATGAGCCCAAGGGAACTTTTTGCAGTGATGGAAATGTTTTACAACTGTATCTTGGTAATGGTTGCATAACTATAAATTTCCTAAAAAATAATTGAATTTTATACTTTAAAATGGTGAATTTTAGAGTATGTAAATTATACCTCCATAAAGTTGTTTTAAAAAAATAGACATTGTATTAGAGCTTAATGAGAGAAGCAGAACAAGTAGATTATATATATCCCCTATATGTATCCTTGTGTGTGTGTGGATTTATTACAAGGAATTTGCTTATGCAATTGGGGCTGGTTAGATAAATCCAAGGTCTGTAGGGTAGGCTGTCAGGAAGGGAAAATCCAGAGAGGGGAGAGTAATTATAGTTAGCTGCAGTTTGGAGGCTAACTCAGGACATGCTTAAGCCTTCTTTTTAAAAGGACTTTCACTGATTAAGTCAGGTGACCCAGATAATCTCCCTAGATTAATGTCAATTTATTAGGGACTTGAATTACGTATGTCTGCAAAATTTCACAGCAGCACTGGATTAGCATTTGATTAAATAACTGGGAGAAGATGTATGTATAATATAAAAGACTGTTGTTCTCCCTTTAGTTCTTGTAGAGATATGTCAGAACTGTCACATACTTATACCAAGTATTTTGTTTCCTACAGAAAGATAGTTTGCTGCTATATTTAATTTGTTTATTCACTCAAATAATGTTTTAGAGGACCTACTGTGTGCCATACACAACAATGTAGGGTGTACTCTCATTAAAAAAAATTCTTTACATGGTGACAAGCCACATACAAGATGCTCAAATACTGGTTGAATGAATATGCCAATACCACCAGGACTTACCCATCCCCCCCATTTTATTTATGCACATAGTATTCAGGCTATTATTGTTTAGATAGGAGTATCTATTGGGCAGCCTCAAATAGCAAAGTTTCACATTTCTCTCTTTAAGCATACTCATAAAATTTACACACCTTGACCTTTTTTTTGCCAAGGATTTCCTGAAGGAAAAGTGCTGTATAAACAAATGCCAAATATAGAACAAGATAAATTATATTGTTGATTAGTTACAATATTTATGGGGAAGCTACTCTGGGGACACTTGAAAACTTGATACGCCTTTGACAGAGTGTTTACATAAATCTGTTTTCCAACAGATCCAAATTTTCAATCTTGCAGTTTTCCACTATTTGAAGATCCTGATTCCTTGAACCCTTTCCAAGGGAAGGCAGTTAGGTAAAAAAAAAAAAATCTCATTTACCCAACCTCCATTTACTTGAATAAAGAATTGTTGTTGTGACTACTAATCTGTCGCAGCTCAGCAACTGCTTCTCAGGCAACCTTTATTTACCCAGTCTCTTCAACTGCGACCCATGACAGTTTCTATGGCGACAGCTTAGTATCTACGCGGCTGGCGACCGCTCAACTTGGAGTCTAGAGGTTTCACTCCTCGTTTTGCCTCTTCCATTCACTAGAGGAGAAGCTCACTAAACATTTCCCTCTTATCTGCGCCTTTGGGAAGTAGTGAAAAACAGGTACTTCCTTGTCCTCAGCTTTCCTCTTCACCCCTCTTCCAGGCCAGGAGATCATGAATTGGGTGCCAGCAGAAATACCTTTTTTTTCAAGGCAGGAATCTCCAAATTCTGTTGGCATCTGCAGCAAATGCAGTTGGTATCACAGATAATTGTTCAGCATTTACATGAAATTTTAGATTTCTTATGCGTTAAGTGTGCCTATTTTGGCTTGATTATAGATAGTATAACTGTCTTGGAAGGTAGCAAGACTAAGATATGATATTGATGTTTAAATATTAATGATATTAAGTTGGTTTGCGGTGATTATACTTCAACAACTGTTTTTGTTGTTGTTGTGATTTATGTCTTACGGAAATTTTGAACCCAGAATTTTAGAACTGCAGGGTATTTAGAGAACATCTAATCTATTTCCTTAATTTCATCTTTCAGGAAATGAAGCCCTAACATGGAAGTAACCAGCTTCATTTTTCCATAGCAAGTGGGTGATAGATCTCTTAACAGGAATCCCTGCCCACTTATTTCAACTGTCATTTTTTAGACTGATACCATGTTTGGGAGGAAGATCTAAAAAGGCCTAGCATTTTTGGTATTGATATATAAGAAATGTTTTGAATATATGGAAGCTAGCTTTTACAATAATGGCTTTATGGACTTTTTCTCCTTAGCGTATAGAATATTTTAATCTTTAGGGGACCAAGATGTCAGATCCAAACAAAGCTGCCATTGCAGCAGAAAAGGAGGCTCTGAACTTGAAGTTACCTCCCATCGTTGGTCCTCCTGAAAACATAGGTGTTAACACATCAACACAAAGTAAGCTGCTGAATTACAGAAGATCCAAGGAGCAGAAGAAGACAATTAATCAGTTAGTGTAAGTAGCATATTAATAAATAATTCTTGTTTGGAATTCAAGTAAAATGATTAGTGTTCGTATTCTCATAAAAAGCTTTAATTACAGGTTTTTCATGGGCAAAATACCATCTTAAACTTCAATTAGGAAAACAATTGAAAAAGTAATCATAGTGATAATAAATGATATATAGAGGGTGCCAAAAAATGTATACACATTTTAAGAAAGGAAAACTATTAAAATTGTAATAATATATACCAATAACAAAAGATGAACACAAGTCACATTTGACTTCTGCAATTACAAAAGGTGCTCAAAGTGGTTACTGTCAGTGTCCAGACACTTCTGATTACAGCAAACTACTGCTTGAGCAACGCTAACCAAAGGGTCCACTTGTATACATTTTTTTGGCACCCTCGGTATATTGCTTATGCTAATCAGCATTTAAGCATTATTTTAATCACTTCACCTAAACTTCTCACAACAGCCCTATAAGATGGCCTCTATTGTTATCTCTATTTTATAGATGAGTAAAGTGAGGTACAGAGAAGTTAAGTAACTTGCCCAAAGTCACACAGCTGGGGTTTGGACCCCAGCGGTCTGGTTCTAGACTTCATATACTTTAAGTACCACACTATTCTTCCACTCAATATATTGTAACCATACTGGTCCCTGAAAGTAAAACCAAGTAATTGGGACCCTACGAATAGCATTGCATTTGAATAGCATTGCAAATACTTAATAAAATATCTTGAAACTACTTGTACTTAAATTTTTTTACATGCAAAAGAAAATATAGTCTAACATCCTGCCCTTCCCCCTCCAATTTAGTGGAAATTAAAACTAATTTAGGTGCTAGCTACTAAAGGCTGTGATAAGGATGGTTCAGTTCATTTCAGCAGTTACTGGGAGTTTCCTAGGTACCTGACTCTTCTGGGCTTTGGGGATAATTAAGAAGAAAAAGACATTGATCTCATCTGTACAATTCTAACCTAACACTCAATGATAGAATGGGAAATTTCTCTCTGGTGGACTTCTGCTTCTCTTTCTACATTCTCTTTCCCTTCATGGTTTGCCTCATTTATACATATTTTTGCAACTGACTAAGTTTTTGTTTTGTTTTGTTTTAAAGATTTTTATTGGGGAATTGGGGGAGGGAAACAGACAAGTTGCTATCCTTTTGTTCTTCAGTCTAATTGTGGAGGACATTGCTTCACTGGCCCATGTTGGTATTATCATTGCGCTCTTCCCGGGTGAGGCAGCCTCTCGAAGACCATTGGATGGCTGCTCACGGTGGCTCACGGCAGCTCATGACAGCTCACGAAAGCAAACGCCAGCTGCTGGCCAGTCTCACTGCAGCCTACGCTGTCGCCTGCAACTCGCTGCAGCCCAGCTCCAGGTTGAGCTGTTGTTTACTATCTTAGCTGTAGAAGGCATAGCATCACTGGCCCTCATATGTGGGATCCAAACCGTAGTCCTGCTGCTCAGAGCTGGTGTCCCAACCCATCTCCTAACAAATGTGCCACTCAGCCGACCCTGCAACTGACTAAGTTTTACTGTCTGTTACATTGTTGATTATCATATTATTGCTAATTTAATTTAAATTTTTGCAAATTTTACTTTCCTTATAAGTAAACAGGTCTGTTAATTATATAACTTCTTTAGATTTGCATTTTTATTAGTTTATCAATCATTTAATCATATTTAAATTCAAATTTATAAGCTACATTAACTAATGTCAGTATATGTATTATTAAAGATCCTTTACTCATTTTCATTTCTAAGACTATACTCAATGTGATGTATAGTGATGGGGTTTCCTTAGGAGTTACATATTGTTCTTACTCTAAAACCTTTCATTTTCTCACATTTTCATGTTGAACTATTGCAGTTCCATGAATATATTTTTCATAGTTTAGTAAAAGATAAATTTCACAATTGTTCTCTGCAGTTTCTTTCACTGGAAGGTGTTTTTGTGCCTTAATCTTTAAACTAGTACTTTAAGGCTTAGTATACAGATCACCTCCTCTGGAAAGCCTTCTCTTAATCCTCTTCATGCATCTTTAACTCTGTCTACATATTTCTCATATCAGTTTATTTAGCAGACATTAAGTACCTACTGTTATATAGACGCTGTGCTTGTTACTGGGGAGACAATAGAGAACACAACACAAAGGACTGTGTCTTTAGAGAAGCTTATATTCTAGTGGGAGGAGACAGACAGTAAGTATATTTTTAAAAAAGTATATTAGCCTTTTAGATAGTGACAGGTACTGGGAAGACATAAGATAGTGGAATAGAGAGTCACAGGAAAGGTTTTCCCAGGAACATTCCAGGAAAGGCCTGTGGAGATGATATTAAAGTAGAAAATCTAAATAATCAAAACCTTGTCATTTGAATAAACATGGTGATAGCACTCTAGTAAAGGGAATAGCAAGCATGAAAGCCCTGAAATATGAATGCTTTTAGTGTGTTCTAGGAATTGGCAAAGGCCAATGTCACTAGATTATCAGGGGCCGTGGGAAGAGTGGTATCAGGTGAAGATGGAGAGAAAGGTAGGGGCAGATTGTGAAAGGCCATGTAAGGATTTCAGATTCCATTTTAAGTGCAATGGAAGCCACCGAAATGTTTTAACCTGGGAAGTGACATGAAATCCAACTTACACTTAAAAAATATCACTCTTGCTATTAAGAATAGACTGAAGTGGTGCTGGCCAAGTGGCGTGTTGGTTAGAAATTGGCTTGGGATGCCAGCTCTGAGCAGCAGGGCCCAGTTCGGATCCCACATATGAGGGCCAGTGATGCTACGCCCTCTACAGCTAAGATGGTGAACAGCAGCTCGACCTGGAGCTGGGCTGCCATGAGTCGCTGGCTATGGCGTAGGCTGCAGTGTGGCTGGCTGGCAGCTGGGGTGAGCTGTCATGAGCTGTCATGAGCCACCGTGAGTGGCCATCCAATGGCTGGTGAGTGATTACCTCACGCGGGAAGAGCGCAATGATAACACCAACATGGGCCAGTGAAGCAACATCCCCCATAACTAGACTGAAGAACCAAAGGACAGAAACTTGTCTATTCCCCTACCCCGATTCCCCAATGCTGTTCCCCTCCCCACAATTCCCCAATTAAAAAAAATCTTAAAAAAGAAAAAAAAAATAGACTGAAGTGGAGGGGAAGAGGGCAAGAATAGAAGGAAACAAAGATACCAGGTAGGATGCTTTTGTAGTAGCATAGATGAGAACTTATGGTGGTTTGGCTGTAAGTCTGGAGACAATGGAGGAGGAGAGAGTAGATTTAAGGGTATATGAGTATGTTTTGGATCCCAAATCAATAGGACTTACCATTGGATTGCCTTTGGTAACAAGGTAAATAGTAGTGTTTATAGAGAATTGGAAGTTCAGGAGATGATGGGGGGTGGAGAGGTCAAAAGCAATAATTCCTTTTTTCTTTTTTGGAGTTGGGGTGCTATGTGATATCTAAGGGAAATATGTTAAGTAAGCAGTTGGATATGTAAGAGACAAGGCATAGGCTAGAGATACCAATTTGGGAGTCAGCAGGATATAGATGATTTTTAAAGGGAATAGTTGAAATCAGAGAGAAAGAGAGAGAGAATGGGAATTGAGAAGAGAAGAGAAGAAGGCCCAGGACTAAGCATTTAAGAATTACAATATTTAGATGTTGGGTATAGAAGGGCCAACCAGCAAATAGACTGAAGAAGTGCCTCCAGTGAGGCAGGAGGAAAAGCAGAAGAACAGGATGTCATAAGGAGAGAGAGCAAAGTATGTTATAACACAATGTATTATTATTTATTTTCTTTGTTGTTGTTCTCTTCTACTTTGACATACTTGAGAACAGAGATTTCAACACAAAGAACAGTGTCTGTCATGTTGTCGTTGGTGAATGAATGAGTGAATGAATGAATTTCTTAAGGTAGAACTTTATTGTGCTTGCACAGATCTGTATTACTGTACTACTCTCACTTGGGTGCTTAATAAAAAATGTTGCCTCAAAATAACCTGAAGCGAAGTGGAGTATTAATACTGAGATTAGAATTGTCATGTGTTTTATTTGGGAAAAATGCATTTGGAATGAAGTTTTTATACCAGAAACACATTTTTCTGGATGACTGTGGATTTTGTGATTCTCTATTCCTTGCTTCCAGAGTCCAGGAATGAGCCACTTCTTCCTTGACCACTGTCTCCCTCTTGATTCAGACTAGCTTTTCTCTCCTTCACTGCATGTAGTCTATCACACAGTCCTTTGAAGTTATCCAGGTTTGATTTATTTATTTGTTTTTGATTGTTAACACACAAAGCAAAAACAAGGGGTGAAAAGGCTCTCTCTTATTCTTCCCAGCTCTTTTTATTTATAGCAATAGGAAAAATCACACTCCAGGAAATTGTTGCTATACTAAGAGGTGGCATTTGTACATAAAGAGCTCAGAGAAATTAGGCATATTTATGTTGGGATAGTTACAGTGCAAGCCAGAAAGTGCCAACTAGCATAACAAAATATAAAGCAAATTCCTTGAAAGTATAGATCACTGAGAGCTAGTCTGTTTAGGGTGAGAATGATGGATGAAGGGAAGTTTGGCCTTGGGCTTGATGGTTAAATAAGAGAGGAAGGAGAATATCTCAGGCACATTTTCTACTTCATGTGAAAAAGCCTTTGGAATTTTAGTTTGGTCAGGTTCAGTATGACTCAACAGGGAAATGAAGCTACTCAAAAAGTTTATTAAGTCTTATGCTGCTTTAATAAATGTAAAATGTCTGGAATGTGGGAGAAAAAATTTTCACTGCACACTGGTCATAATACATCTGGAATTCTGGGATCACATTTTAAGAGGGATGTTGATAAACTGTAATAGCTACAGAGGAAAGTGAGGAATTTTGAAACTACCTCATTTGAAGGAAGCTGATTCACTTAATGGGGAAGAGTATAGATAGACTCTGGCATCAGACATGCCCGAGTTCATATCCCATCTCTGCAGATTATTAGTGATGTAAATTTTTCAAGTCAGGTAACTTTACTTCACCTTCCCATCTGTAAGAGGGAGATAAGTATAATGCTCTTAAGACTGTAAGCCAATACCTAGAACATAATAAGCTCACCATAAATTGTAACTTTTATTGACAGGAATAGTTGAAGGAACTGGAATATAGGTATCATTAAGTTTTAGAAGGGTATCATAGAAAAAAATATGATTCTTTGTATATAACTCCAGAGGATAGAAGTTACAAGGATACAACTCAACATAAGAAATTTGTTTCTAAGAATTTGAGCTGGCTGACAATAAATTGAGCTACCTTAGAAAGAGATGAATGCTATCCCCCCTCACTGTACAACGTGATATTTTTGAGAGTATTCATGCATTAAATAAGGTACTGACCTAGACAGGCAAGATCTTTTCCAAATCCACTATTCTGATCATTCATTCCACAGATATTTATTGACTTTGATAGACACTATCTATGAAGTGTGGTAAAAAAAATAAGGTGAATGTTTAAATTAAAAAATTTATTACAGTAAAAAGCACATTGCCGTTAATGCTCCTCAAAATACTCCCCTTCAATTGTAATAGATATGATATTGGTGGGGGGAAGTGGGGCAGCAGATTGGGGGAGGGGGGTTGTCACTTTGAGGGGTGAAAAGTATAACGATTGCACTGTGTTGTACAGCTAAAACTAATTTTTAAAAATGTATTTCACAATAATAAAAAAATACTCCCCCTTGCTTCGAACACACTTATCCCATTGTTCCTGCCACTTTCTGAAGCAGTTCTGGAAGTCCTCTTTTGTGAGTGTCTTTGGTTGAGCTGTCATGGCTGCCTTGACTATCTTACTCTTACCTATCTTTTCTTTAGATATAGTTGAAAAAATATAACAAGTTGTAATGTTTTAATAATATATGAGTGGTATCTTCAAGAGAGTCATACACTTTTCTGACTACATATTTCAGAATTGATGGAGCTAAAAGAAATTTAGATAGAACACTGAGTAAAAGAATACGTTCATCACCAGAGCCAGATTATCCTCCAACTGTAAGTTTGTTTTCTCTTTAAAAAGCTTATCTTTATTTTGTTTTCATTCTTAATTATTTTAAGTTAATCTCAATATAATTAATATTTAAAAAGACTAATACATAAATTTTAAAGTATTTATATTTTAATTTTTAAAAACTTAAATTACTTAAAAATTTTTCTCTTTGATTTAATTATGTCTTGTTTGTTTGCTTTTGACAGATGACCAGTGAACTTAAAAAGAAAGGAGTGAGTTCAATTTTTTCATATTTATTGTTTTGAAAACATTCAAAGAAATTATTACAAAGTAGCTCCTTCTGAGACCACCTGCTAAGTGCCATTCTAGAAAAGAGAGAGATTTAGAAACTTGAGATTTTTATTTTCTCTGCCTAAAGGAACAAGTATGTCATGGATGACAATATGGGTTTTAAGAATTATTAATATATTGTTGCCATTTGTTATTTGAGGATTAGTTGTAAATATTTTAGTTCTCATTTGAAACAACTGAAAGAAAAATTCAAAGGAAATGCATCTCCCTTTTCATTGTCCTAATGTTGATATAATGATGATTATTTATTGAGAATCTATTGTGTGCTAGTCACATGCTAGATGCCAGAGATTAAGAAAAAAAAGACACTGCATGGGTAACAACATGAAACTAGAATATGATTGGTGGAAAGATGACAAATGAAACATTTCTTTAACAGCAAGGAATATGGAAACTCTTGGAGCTGGTTGCACAAAAAAGGAATTTGTACATGTCCCCAAATAGGGGTACAGGATTTCCAAGTCCCTTAAAGTCCACTTTGGGGATAGAGGACTTAACGATACCTCTGTATGGGTTGAAGATATTTGGAGGAACCTCATTTTGCTTAAAAATACTTTTCCTCCTTCCCTCTCTGCCTCCCAACTTTTCTGGAGACTTTGGATGTGGATTTTCCTCTTTACTAGATATAAGAACGGATACAAAAGAACTGCAAACATTCATAAGTATTCATAAATATCTAATGTGAAGCTGGGTGAATTGCAAGACATATTTGTGTTTATGTTTTAGCATACTTACTTTTCCTCCACAGTTCCTGCCTTCTAGTGTTTTAGGTAGTTGGGCATAAAAACAGTTATTGACTCCTGAACCCACTGCTCTTGACAATCTGTGTTCTAGGAACTCTACCTCTTCATCATTGTAACCAGGGACGAATAATTGCCAAATCCTAAGGATATTTTTTCAATACTTCTCTCACTCCAGTTAACTTTTTAAAAACCTTTTTACTTTTAAATAATTGGACATATGGATCAGTGGGACAGAATAAATGACCCAATAAACCCATACAAGTACAATCAACTGATTTTTGATGAAGGTGCAAAAATCAATTCAATGGAGAAAGGGTACTCTTTTCAACAAATAGAGTGGAACAATTGGACATCCATAAAGAAAGAAAACAAACAACAACAAATGCCAAATCTCAGCCTAAACCTTGCACTATGTACAAAAATTATTGAAAAGTGATCATAGATTTAAATGTAAGTTGTAAAACTATTTAAAACTTTTAGAAGAAAACAGGAGAAATGTGAAAGTATAGAAAATTTAGAAGAAAACTGAGGGCTGGGCAAAGAGTTCTTAGATATGACATGAAAAGTACAATCCATAAAAGAAAAAAACCCCGATGGATTATATTTCATCACAATTAAAAACTATTGCTCAGTGAAAGACCCTGTTAAGGGGATGAAAAGAAAGGTATACACTGGGAGGAAATATTCACAAATTACATATCCAGCAAAAGATTTGTATCTAGGATTTATAAAGAACTCTCAAAATTTAACAGTATAAAAACAAACAATCCAGTAAGAAAATGGATGAGACATGAAAAGACAGTTTATAAAGAGGGTATATGGAAGGCAAATAAACACAGGAAAGATGTTCAACATCATTAGCCATTAGGGAAATGCAAATTAAAACATGATGAATTATCACTACATACCCATTAGAATGGCTAAAATTAAAAATAGTGACAGTTCTAACTATAATTGAATATATATATAGTCACAGAATGTGGTGTATAGTGTGGGAGTGGAGTCAATGGAATTGTAATAGATATGTATGATATCAGGGGTTGGGGGAGTGGCAGAGTGGATTGGGGAGAGGGGTTGTCACTTTGCGAGGGAAAAAAGTATAACTATTGCACTGTTTTGCACACCTGAAACTAATTTTAAAAATGAGGCTAAATAAACAGGTAGCACAAGAGAGTGCCTTTATGGCAAAAAAATTAAAAAAAAAAAGCATAAAATAAAAAAAATAAAAATAGTGACAATTCTACCTGACTCTTGACACTGCTGACCATTCATTTCTTTTATATTCTCTTATATTTATTCTGGTTCTCTCTTATTTCTGTCATCTTTATGGGTTTCTCTTCCCTGCCTGACTTGAGGCCCACTGTTTTCTTTCCTTTAATCTTCCTGGATGATTCTCTCCTTTTCTGAATTCAACTGCCTTCCATATATTGATGACTCCCAGAGATCTTTATGCACAAATACCTTAAATTCAACATGTCAAAAAAACTGTACTCATCAGTTTCCTCCAGAAGATACCTCTTCCTCCTTATTCTCTATCCCTAGTTGCTGTTATCACTATTCAGTCACTCATGCTTAAAGCTTCTCTTTTTCTCTTCCCAATTACCTACCTGACATACAGTTAGTCCCCAAGTGCTGTGAATACTTCTCCAATCAGTCTGCTTTTTGTCCTAGCCTTAGATTAGGCCTTTGTCTCTTGTCTTGACTGAAGTAGCCATCAATGGCTTTCCATAACCTGTAAAATTAAAGCTTAATATGGCATGCAAGGTTTTCTGTAATATGAACTCTGCCTATTTAGCTTCTCCTCTTGCCACTCTCTGTATCACACTTTATGCTTCACTAACACGGACTTGCTTATTAATCATTGAGGAAATATTGCATTTCTCACCTTGCTGCTTTTGCCTGGCATATCCGTTCACCATCCATGCTTTTTTTTTTTAAAGTTTTTATTAGGGGATTGGAAGAGGGGAACAGTGTTGGGGAATTGAGGAAGGGGAACAGACAAGTTGCTGTCCTTTTGTTCTTCAGTCTAGTTGTGGAGGACGTCGCTTCACTGGCCCATGTTGGTATTATCACTGTGCTCTTCCTGGGTGAGGCAGTCGCTCGCCGGCCAGTGGACGGCCGCTCACGCTGGCTGCCGGCTGCTCACGCTGGCTGCCGGCCACTCATGGTAGCTCACAGCAGCCCACTGCAGCAGGAACTGCAGCCTACACCGTTGCCACCGACCCACTGCAGCCCAGCTCCAGGTTGAGCTGTTGTTCACCGTCTTAGCTGTAAAGGGCTCAGCATCACTGGCCCTCATGTGGGATTCAAACCGGGGCCCTGCTGCTCAGAACTGGCGTCCTAAGCCAACTCTTAACCAACGCGCCACTCGGCCGGCCCCATGCTTAGTTTTTTATATAATTATTTTAAAGCTTGACACTGACCTGCTTTATAGAACTGCTATAGATTTGGGGATTGAGAAAATATCTTCCTTGTCTGTAATTAATTCATTTATTCATGAGATTCTGCATAAATGTTTACTACATACTTGGTCCTGTGCTAGATGCTAAAGATTGATGAAGTAGACAGACATAGTTTTTGCGCGATGGAGCTTATATTCTAATGGAGAAAACATAGTAATCAAGTAAACAGATAAATAAACAAAGTAATTGTGATAAATACTATGAAGGAAATACAGGGTGATATGATAGTGACTGGAGAGGGAGTGGAGACCATGAAAAGCAGGTGGTCAGAGAAGGCATCCCTTAGGTGGTGCCATTTTGGAGACCTGAATGGTAGAAAGGAGCTAAACATGGGAAGACCTGGGGTTGAGAATTTCCCAATAGAAGGAACAGCTAAGTTTAAAATCCCTGAAGGAGAAAACTTTTTGGTATATTTCAGGAGCTGAAAGAAGGCCAACTTGACTCAGCTCGTGGGAGGAGGGTATAAAATAAACTTGAAGAAGGCATTGGGGCCAGATCACCAGGGCCTTCTACCTGTTGTAAGGAGTTCAGGTTTTATTCAAAGTGCAGTGAGAAGTTATTGGAGAATTCTATTCATGGGAATAATATAATTTGATTTACATTTTAATAATAAAAAGCCACTTGACAATGATGTGAGAAAAATCACTCTGACATTTTAGGGACTGGATTGTGGCCAGGGCAAGAGTAAACAACATGAAGAACCAGTTAGTTGTAGAAGCAACAATTTAGATGAGAAATTATTGTAGTTTGGAATAGAGTGATAGAAATAGAGCTATAAGGAATTGATAGATTCAGAATATATTTTAGATGTAGAAATGATAGGACTTGCTGATAGATTAGATATGGAGGGTGAGGTAAAGAGGAAACAAGGATGACTCTTAAGGTTTTTGCCCGATTTTACAGGGTAATTGATGCTGTTTATTGAGATGGCGAAGACTGAGGAAGGAACAGATTCGGAGCTGGGGAGATCAAGAGGTCTTGTTTGGCTATGCTGGAGAGTTCAGGAAGAGCTTAGTTCTAGAGATACAGATTTAGGACTCATCAACATATATAGGTGATATTTATAGTCACAGGACTAGGTGACATCACTTAGGGAGAGAGGGAAGAGAAAGAGTGGGGAGGGCATCAGGTTCATTATTAGACAGAAGTCAGTCCATTGATATAGTGAGGGATTGGGGACCATCATAAGAGATGTTTGAGGCTCATCCTGTACTTTCCCTGTTTTAACCCTGGAATCAGTCATTTCCCCAAGGATTCCTGGCTCTCTTTACTACAGAATGGTATTTAGAAACCATGATATACGTGTTAGGTGTGTTTCTTGACGTTGAATGTAACTGCTTCTTGACTCAGCAGAAAGAGCTAGGAAATTGTGTCTATCTATCCATCCAACTTTCTATCATTTATCTCTTAAAAACCAGTTGTTTATATTGATGCCTCCTATTCCAGTTCAACATCACAGGGTTCATTCTAGTCTTCCCTCTTTCTGTATTTGTAGCTCCCTTCTCTGACAGAAACCTGGCTTTTATAAACCACAATTATTTACTTATTTTGTTAAATCCTAAAATACACATGAACTGTTGTAAAATTACTAACTCACAACACTGTGAAAAACAGACCTATCCACTATAGTTCAATATTTTTCTATAATTTTTTTAAAAAATTTTTTATTGGGGAATTGGGGGGATGGGAACAGTGCTGGGGAATTGGGGGAAGGGGAACAGACAAGTTGCTGTC